CTCCTTCCTCCCCTCCCCCTCCGCGCCCCGCCGGGGAGACTTTCTTAAGTTCACTCCGGCCGGTAGAGGGGACCGGCGGCCGCGAGGAGTGGAGAGCGGTGGCGCCTGCCCTTGGTGGCCTTCCGCGCCCTGGGGCCTCTTGTCCGCCCCTGAGCGGCGGGGGAGGGGGCGGCCGGCGCTCTGCGGGGAGCGGCGATTTGCGCCGGGGCTTTGAGGTTCCCGCCGCCTCGGCACCGGCGTTCCTGGGGGGCGGGGCTTGCCGACCGCCGCGCATGCCCCATGCGGTCCTGCGCCGCCGCGAAGGCGGGGGCTGCCGGCGCCTGGGCGGGTGCGAGGGCGCATGCTCGGCGGAGCCCTCCCTTGGAGGTCGCGAGAAGCGCCCCCCCCAGACCGAGAGGCTTTTGGACTTGGCCACCTTGGGGCGGGGGGTCTTGGTGCGGCAGAGTCAGCCGGGGGAAGATGCGTCTCCCTCCATCTGAATTAACTTGAATTTGTCAAGAGTTGGCCTTTCAGACCCTAATTAAGGTCGTGACAGTCACAACTTTTGTGTCTTCAAACCTTTCCCTTTAAAAGAGTAGTTCTTGACTTAAGGCCTGAAGTCTTGCCTCCTCAGAACTTTTTGCAAGTTTGATGTGTGATATAGGTTTTCAGAGAGGGGGTGAGAGCTTTCCCCAGACTCAGATGCCTCCCCCTGCCCGCAAAACCTCCACTTAAGAACTAGAGTCTGACACAAAGAAGAGGTTCATTTTCTCCATAATTTCCCATCAGAAAGTGTTTCTGGGTTAGCAGTACCATAGTTCTTTTCCCCAGAGGAGTTCAGGCAAGTTTAAGTGGTTAAAGTACTACGTTTTCTACATTCACCTTATAGATGAGGAAACTGGGGCACAGGGAGTTTGAGGACCTTGCCCAAGATCACATGAATCCAGGGTAACAAATGGTTCAGGCTTTCTGATGTCATCCTTCACACCTTTCCAAACTGTCATCTTGAAGTTGCTTTCTAACTGCCTCCCAGGATAGAAGAAGGGTGTCTGACTTGCTGTCAAGGAGTCTTGCCTGGTTTTTGGGCCAGATCAGTGTTGAGGAAGTGGCCAGAGGGTTTAGAAATTAGAATCCTAGCGCTGTTTTCTTTGACAAGTCAGATCTGTGTGAGAAACCAGGCATTTCCTTCCACTTGTGTTAGGGAAAAGACCAGCCAGGCTGCTGCCACCTGCTTTTTGTTTTGAATGAGTTTCCAAAACCCAAGATTGAATGTTTGACGATCCACTCCTGCGTTGTCATCTGCAGCGCTAGGGTTGATGTGTGAGAACAGTGGGTTTTGTTGTGGAGAAGGAAGCATTGGGGGGGGGGGGAGACAAACGTTGAGATTCACCCAAGAACTTAGTCAAAAGGAAAGTGAAGTGAGCAGGGACCGTGTGCTCCCAGTCCAGCCTGCCTCTGTTTTCATCAGCATAGCATTCAGTCAGTTTCTCTGATGGGAATGGCACTTAGTCTTCCTGAAAGATGCTGTTGCTCTTGTGAGAAGACTGAAGCAGCAGTCCATTGCAATTTATGTTTATTTCCTTGATAAGTACATTTGAGCATGGTAGATCAGGAGGATGGATCAGGGTAGGGTTAGAGTTCCATTTATTTATAAGGGTTGCCTTGAATCCTAATTGACTCCTAGTTGACTCCAGGGCACCTAACAATAACAACAGATACTTAAATTTATTCCCACCTCCTGCGGGTCTGCTCAGCTGTTTGCCTTGGGAGCACCTGCCTACGAAATTACCCAGCTGGAGCCTCAGCATCAGTGAGGTTACCTCATGTTGTTAGGTGCCATCAGATTGACTAATTTTGCTCAGTTGTGATCCTGGGAACAACAGAGCAGCTGAACTTTGCCCATCCTCATGTCCGAGCGCATTGTGGTCCCTGGGTCAGTCCATCTCTTGTGGGTCTTCCTCTCTCACCTTTAGCAGGCTGATACCTGTCTCCAAGGACTGATTTCCTCCTGAAAATATGCCCAGATGAAGTGAGATCCTTGCCTCTAAGGAGCATTCTGGTTGTACTTCCTGACTACATATTAGGGTCGGCAAATGACCTTTATGCCTGTGGAAATGCACGTGCCAGGTTTTAAGTTTTTCATTAAGTTTTGGTCAAAAGTAGTGACATTTGACAGGCCCAAATCATCACCCCTGGTCTCTTGTCTTGCCTCCAGCGGCTGTGCTTGCCCCAGATTCTGGTTTCTCCCTGTTGAGTAGTTCCTGGGGATTCTGTCTGCTGCTATAAGCCTGCGGAAGTCCTTAGCTGCTTTTTGAAGACAGTTTTTCACCAAGAATTTTTGCAAGCCTCTAGACTGGGTAGGGTGTTGCGCTTTCAACTGAGGCACGCAGTTCAAATCCACCACCAGCTACTTTGAAGAAATATGATAGGCCGTTTTCTCCCATGCATTTTACAGCCTCTGAAAACCCACTGGAGGGTCAGCTATGAGTCTGTTCTGACTTGAGGGCACTGAGTTTGTGTTTTTTGTTTTCTATTGTTTAGGGTCCCTTGAAAAGAACAGTGTATGAGAGCAGCCGCTGAGAGTTGTCTAAAACCATGTTGCTTTTAGTTACTTCTGAACTACAGGTGTTGGACTTGTGAATGAAGCCAGTACTTTTGTTGTGGGCAGAGTTGTCTGGAGTCAAAGGTGTGTACTGTTCAAGAACATTCTTAGGATTTCAGTCTCTGAAGATGCTCTTTCCTAAGCACCTTATGTGGTGATACCAGTGAGTGGGATTATCTAGGGTTGAGTCAGTCTGAATTCTTGGTGAACCTCACACTCCTGTTGGTAAAGCGGGCAGCATTGCAGAACCATCAAGTATAAGGGACTTGTCAAAGCCAGAAATTGTCCACATCTTTTGTCTTTTCCCCAGTTTTGGGTTACCAGAGTATCATAGACCCCGAGACAAACCCTCCAGTCTGAAAAGCTCAAATAAATAAAACTGAAAACTGAGCTTTGGTGTCCGTTTTAGTTGATAGCCCATTAGGGAATTGGTTGTTGCTGACATTTCTGCTCCCTCCTTCGAGCCTGGCAGCCTTTTAAATGGACGTGTGTTAAAAGGTTGACATTCATTCCCTTAAATGTGTTCCTTGCCTTTGGGCAGTAACTGGGGGATGACTTGGGACCAGAAATGCCATTTTGTTGATTGAGGAAGCTCTGCATTTTGCTGCTATTGCCCTTCATCTCGGCCCAGGTTGTAGTGGGAGATAAAACTCACTCATCTTGTTGGACAGAATGTGTTTTTAAGCTGTTCTGCTCCACAGCCATAAGCTGCCAGCGATAGCAGACACTTGTGTCCATCTAAAAAAAAACCCCACCAATCTCTGGGGCTGCCAGTGGAGGCCTGATTGCACCCTGGAGGCTTACATGACCTGTTGGTGTTCGCAACCGTGACGTCCACCCTCTCCATGGAGCCAGGGGACATCTCATCCTCAAATGGAGTGAAGAGCTGAAATGGACTGTGGTTTAAAGGGCATTAGAAGTTATGGGGTGTGGGTGTTTTTGTTGTTTCTTTGGGTTTCTTCCCTTTTCTTCTTGTGTATCATTGAGTCAGATCCAACTGGCACAGGAGATTGCACCTCTTTCTCCATGGAGTACATGGTGGATTTGAACCACGTACCTTTAAGATTGGAACACAACTTCTTGCCACACGGCCACCAGAGCTCCCTAGCAGTTCTGGGTTTTAATTTAACTTTTTCCCCCTTGGTTTGAGGTGGAGGGACAGGTTAAATATTGGAGACAGGAAAGCAGCATGGAGCAAAAACTTGCATAGATAATGCCAGTGAGACAATTATTTCCCTCTAAGGTGTATGGTCCATGACAAAAACTTCAGGATGACAGCAGTTAACACCCTTTAGGCACTGTCAGAGCTGGGTTGGAGTAAACACCCAAGATCTGCAAATTCAAAGGCTGGTGTTTCTTGCTTTGCTCTTTAAAGAACTCCTTTGTTGGCTTGGTGGGCCAGTACCTACAAGTCCTTGTCCACTCAAATACTGGCTTCTCCATGTTGTGGAGGAAGCCCCTAGTGATGCAGGAGGTATGTTCTGGCATTACTGACAAGAGCGTGAGCCCTCAACCGAGCCTGCTTCCTCATCCTTGACAGCTACAGGTTGCGTGCTGGTAGTGTATTTGTGTAGTGACGTGTCTGTGTTGGACAGTTTAAGCATCTCAGTGGAGAATGTGGGATATTCATCCTTTGAACTCTTTCTTAACTAACTGTCTGGGCAGGGGGAGCCGCATAGTACAGGGGTGCTGCCTGGCGTGTCAGCCTTCATGCTTTTTCTGTATCTCTGCTTCCTCCTCCTGGTAGGTGGTGATATTCTAACTCCCTCATAGCTGGCCCTTTAAGAGGCTTTAAATTGCACAGGAAGAGATTGCTCCTCTTTCTCTCACAGAGCAGCAGATGAATTTGAACCACTTGCCTTGGGGTTGGCTGCACAGCTCCTTACCACTTGGTCACCAGAGCTCCTGGCCTGAGTTAGTGGAGAGCTAGTTAATTAGCTATGGGACGGAAGTTCTTCCTTCCCTGGAAGTTCCTTTTTTTGGGAAATTTCACAGGGCCAGCCGGCTACTATTTTGTCTTCCTCAGCATTGTCTCCGGTAGACGTGTAGAATATTCCAGCCGAGTCTGCCAGCTAAACAGAGAAGAGGAGATAACCAGGGGAAACTAGGCTACCATTCAAGTAATCTGAGTCTCTGGGTACTCCAGGCTTGGGCTACCCTCTTAGGTCTTTCACTAAATAATTTACACCATAGCAGAGTCCTCCTCTATTCCCAGACCGTTTGACTTCTCTTTTGCATGCCAACTGCAGGCTGTGTTTCTGTAAAATAGACCATCCTCTCCTGCCACAGAAAGTGGCCGACCAGGAGAGGGTGCTGGGAGCTGTCCTCTGGGGAGTGCTTGTCGTGTCAGGTGTGGGTCGTGTGAGGTTCGTTCACCGGGAACAGGTGTTCCTCTGAAGAAGGCATGAACTGTATATTGTTCACAGGTTCCAAACCAGGGCAGTCACCATGTGGAGGGTAGAGAGAAGGAACCTGGAGTCTTCCAAGAACAGCTCTGTTAGCAAGGAAATCTCTTGCCTTTAATGTCCTAGTGGTGATGTTGCAAAAGATAAAAGCAGAAAGGGAAGTTTGAAGTTCCTTTGTCAATGTGGAACTGAGTGGTTAGTTGGGGATTTAATCTTAGGCTAACTTAAAAAAAAAATAGATATTTGGACACATAAAAGGTAAAAGTGCTTGAAAATACTATGAATGTCACTCAGAATTTAACGAAGCCTTTTTAGCTGATAAATACATCAGCTTTTTGAGAGCCTGTGGCAACTTGCTATGTTGCTAGACTGATTCCTGAATTGAATTCTCAGGCTAACGCCTCATTCGAGAGGTCCCCTTGGTATTAGGCTGTTCTCAGTCTGGGGCCAGCAGAGGGAATGAGTCCAACCCAGGCCTCCCCGTCTTAATCCCACCTCATTGGAACACTCTCACACTCTTTTTCTCTCAACCAATGTAGACATGGAACCCGGATCCCAGGAAAGATTCTTGTCCCAGTGGGCAGCCGTGTCGAGGGACGGTGGGAAGGGAGGTGTTGTGGCTCCTGTGCTGAAATGAGCTGTGGAGCACTATTCTGGCCAAGGTTTGGCCCCACAGAGGAGCCGGTCTTAGTTCTCTGTGACACGTGCACTTTGTGCAGATACCTGCATAAATCAGTGTGCAAGATGGAGGAAAAGAAGGCAATTTGGCCTCTTTGGTTTTGGAAAAGATACTTTAAAAGTCCCAGAATAACAATGAGGCCTGAGTGGAACAAACGCTGCAGCAGGCAGATTGCGAGTGTGCAAGTGAAGCGAGGTGGCAGGCTGTTGGCCGGTGCCAGCTTGAGCTGCCAGGTGGAAGAGCTTAACAATGAGGTTTTTCTTTTGTGGCCCCCTGTCGTTGGAAAGCTGGAAACATTATGAGCTAATTCTTTTTTCCTCTTTTTTTGTCTCTAGAAACTTGAAGGGTCTAAGTGCAAAGGGCAGCTTTTGATTTTTGGGGCAACCAACTGGGACTTGATTGGTCGAAAAGAAGTGCCTAAACAACAAGGTATGGAAAGGTCTGATAATGTGTGTGTGTGTGTTACTGTCAAATCAGATCTGACTGGTACAAGAGGAGATTTCCGCTCCTTCTCCAACAGAGTGTCTGGTGGATTTGAACCACTTACCTCTGGGATTGCAGTGCAGCTTCTTGCCACTAGGCCACCAGAGCACCCTTGTTTGACCCCCCCCCCCCAAGCAAGTTTAACCTATTTCTGTCAAGTTGATTCACCACAACCCTAAAAGAAAAGACACTTGAGGATTCTCAAAGATGAAGTCTTAGCAAAAGTGAATTGTCACATCTGCTCTCAGAGTGGCCAGGGCTTGTGCAGACTTAGGTTAGCAGCTGAGCATTTAACATCTGAGCTCTTGGATTTGAGCACTTTCTGTAGCACGTGTATAGTTTATAGCACCTACCACACAGGTATTGCCTTTTAGTAGAATTGGAAATTGGAGTTCAGAGAGGTCAAGCAACTTGGCATGGACCACACAGCCACCAGAGTCATAAAAGTTGGGATTGAACCTTAGTCTTGTACAAGCCTTTCCTTTAACATTTCTACATTTTAAAAGAGCCAAGTTCATTAAGATTAAACAGAAAAATATAAATAGAAACCTCAAATAAATAGTTCCTCGCTGACACCTTTTTCCCCCCATCTTCCTTCGCACGTCACTTATTTTCATTAAAATCAAGATGCTGGTCCTGGGAGATGATACCACAAGCACGTTGATTTGCCAGCTTCCAAATTATCTCTGAAAGCAGTTTGGTAGAACAAGTAACAGGCCATGGAGAGAAAGGGGGAGAAGACAGACCGAAGTCCTGAGAAGTAGCTTGTCTCCAGTCACTTTAGCAAATAAACAGCTTTTTTTCTCTGGAGAATATTGAGAGAAGCTGGTATGTTGCCACATTTTATGGCATTTTGATTTCATTTGGAAAGATTCCCAATGTCCCTCCCAACCTTGCTTTGCCCAGTGAATAAATATTTGCACAGTGCCACTCCCCAGCGCCTCAGAGGGGCAGGAAAGATCAGACGTACTCCATGCAAACAGCCCACCTGACATCTAAATGGGGCTGAGTCACAGATAGCAGCGCTTGCTGGTGTGAGGAATGCCCAAACTTCAGGAAAGACTTCAGCGGCTAGCCTGCAGGACTGTGAGACCTTGTGCCCTCTCCCGGGCCTGGTACCTGAAGGCCTGCATGCAGGAGAGTGCATCAACCGCTCTGCTGTGTTGCCCTGTTGCTCAGTGCTACTCTTAAGAAAGCACATTTGCAGGTAGCAAGGCCTGGGTTTGAACTCCTCTGCTTTACTCTTTGGCCTCCTGAGGATGGAGTGCTGCTGCCAGGTGGTCACCATCAACTCAGCCCCCCCAGAGGTACAGAAGGTAGGGAAGCTACCTGGGGCAGATAGATGTTCTTGCTGAATAGATTTTACCTCACTGGTCTTGTTTCAAAGAATGTTCTTCAGTCTTACCCATTTCTCTCTTTATTTCCCTGATTTGCCTCTAAACGGCTTTTCTGTATTTGTAATTGTTTTTAAAAATCCTAGGTCCTCTGTGGCCTGAACTTGGTAGACCTCAGGGAAGGAGGGAGGATTTTCCTGTTTTCTCTCTGGTACTACACACAACAGGAAGAATGATTCTCCCTGCCCCCGATTTGGGTGCCATCCTTGACTTGGGCTTTGTCCCAGCCAGGGAAACCTGTATGATGTGCCCTGTTGGTTTTCAGGATTACAAGGATGTGTGCTCCAGCCTGGGATTAGGGTTAGACTCCAGGGAGCCAGAGGCCACAGGAACGCATGACCACCTGCCTTATTCAGGCACTAGGTTATTGGGGTGCAGCTTGGACCACTCTTAGGTCTTCTTGGGAGGCCCAGAGAAGCCCTGCATCTCTCAAGGGCCATCTGCATTTTGGATGAGGATGGAGCCACTGCAGAGAAGGCTGCCTGGCAATTCAGTGAGCATCTACTCTGAGACACGGTCTCCTTCGCCAGGCTGGGTCAGCTCTGGGCCTTTTGTGTCCTTTGCCATTTCCTTCTGCTGTGCTGTGGTTTAACAGGTCATGGTGGCTTCAAGTGCTGCACAGCCATCATGCTCTTTGTTCCGTTCCCTTCATTCAGCTTTCATGTTAACAGCCCCTATGAGTTTTAATGATTTGTAATATGATCTCTGAAAGCTGTCATATTTGGTCTGATCCTTTTCAGATCATGAGCCTGCCTTTGGGTATTGGAGTGTGCCGTCGGGTGGAGAGGCATACTTCTGTAGTCCTCAAATCTGAGCAAGCATCCCCCCTTTTCCGAGAATGGTCCTCTGTAACTAACTGAGGTGTTTTGGAGGTGGAGGAGGGTGGGGGCTGGCTTAGAACCCTTGCTGGAGCCTCTTCACAGAGCCAGGTAAACTGATGGAGAAATCTAGCCTTTCAGTCAGTTCCTGCCTCCCCATCAATCTGCCACGGTTGATTTGGCAGCTGCTAGCGTATCAAAATAATCCCCACAGATCTGGAAATGCTCTTGCATTTCTGTGCTTGACAGCCCCAGATTGAAATTAAGCACAAATTGTCGGTTGTTGGCCATATCTTTGCCCATTTGTAGGTTGGAGTATTTTGAAGGGAGTCACTGAAATTTTTCCCCCCCTTTCCTCCCTTTCTTTCTGCAGCCCCACTAATACTCAAGTGGGAAACCCATAGCCCTCTCCTTAGAATCCTTGTTAGAAGCTAGGAAGGTGATGAGTAGAATCTGGTAAGACCTTGGCATAGGACACAGTGGGGTGCAGGGGCATGCTCCAGGTGCAAAGAGCAGAGTTCTAAGTCGGATGTAGGTCAGAGGAAGTGTGGTGTTCAAGCTGAGTTTCGAAAAGGAAGTAGGAGGCAGGGAAAGGCATTTTGAAAAAGTGAATGTAAGTGGCCAGCTGCACAGTGCCACTGCCCCGAGAATGGACCCCATACTAGTGTCTGTGAGACCTGATGGGCATGCTAGCAGTGTAGTTAGTGACCAGCAGGGGTGCTGAGGTGGCAGTGAGGAGAGCCACTGGGAAAGGTGAGGGGTACCAATATCCAGCCTGCCTGGAAAAAGGGGGAGAGGGAATGAGAAGAGTAGATAGGTGAAGAGTATGGTGAGCAGGTTCCTGAGGCAGCGCCCAGACTTACGGATGGGTTGAGAACAAGGTCCCTAGAGACCTTCCCTGTGTGGCAAGACTCTTAATTTTGGCCAAGTGGGGCCAGAAATGGAGCGGCTTCGGGTGAGGCTGCCCATGCCATGAGCCCCTGGGGCCGTTGGTTCTCACCCACCCAGGGCTGTTGTTCGGTTGCTTGATTGGTGTTGTTTTCTTTTCTCTTTGCAGCTGCTTACCGTAATCTAGGTCAGAATTTGTGGGGGCCCCACAGGTATGGGTGCCTGTCGGGAGTCCGAGTCCGGACAGTGGTTTCAGGTTCATGTGCTGCGCACAGTCTCCTCATCACCACAGAAGGGAAGCTGTGGAGCTGGGGTAAGTACTGTGCTGGGGCTCTAAAAACAGCCTAGAACTAGGACTGAGCCTGGCCATGAGGAGAGCCTTGGCACCTTCCAAGGCAACACCCCACCTGTGGGCTCCATGGCCTCTTCCCACTTCCCACCTAGTGGCTTCTGTACCCTACAGGTAAATTCATTTCCTGGACTTAACACCCTAATTCTTTGTCGATTCCTCTTCAGGCAGCCTTTCACTGAACACGCTGACTGAGTTGTTATTTCTGACATCAAGGGGCCTAAAATTGAATTCTTATTTTAGGCAGGCTGTCCCCCCCGACAGTCCCCTTGTTGCCTGATGACACTGTGTGGCAGAAGATCTTTGTTCTCGCCACTTGAAATGCCATTGGTTTCTTAAAACTGCCACAGCACACCATCAGGCACGCTCTCGGCTCAGCTGTCTGCCTGTGAGCCTGCGTGCTTGTCTCGAGGTCCACGTGGGCCTAGTCTGAGGGATTTGTACAGCTCATTGCCTGTTTTGTCCATCTCGAGTCTCCCCAGACCTCTCGAGCTGGTTTGCTTTCCCTTCTGCTCCTGCCTCGCCTGGGGACTCTGGATGATTGACTCTCCCTGCGTTGTTCCGTCCCAGGGTCCTCTGCAGGAGGCTTCATATCACTGCCTGTTTCCTCTTCCAGATTATTAACTCAGGTATTGACTAAGGCTCAGTTTGTCCCCAAGCCCTCTGGTAGTTCCTGGACCCTCCTTCCAGCTGGTAGGTTGGCTCTTGTCCCCGCCCTTTGTTTCTGGTCCTTTGGCTAGCTTGGAGTCCATATGACTGCGTTTTTCTTTCTGTCTCGTTAAACGGCTTGTGGTGGGGGTTTTGGTTTTCGTTTTGGGGTGGGTTTTTTTTTTTTTTTTTTTCAATTTTTCCGAGCGGCGGCTGTACCAAAGTCCAAATATATTAACATCTGTTGTCTTCCCTGCACTCTGCTAATTTTGTAATCCTGTTGGGGGGCGGGGCAACCACCGCACACGCTAACACGTTTGGCCCAGATTTCTCCTTTGTCGTCTCTTGATGACATGCTGACATTACCACGGTTTTTGCTTTCTCCGGGCTGGCCTGGAGGCGAGACCCTCCTGCCTCAAAGCCGATCCCCTTGGTGTCCCCACGCTGTGTCATCTCGTGTCAGACCTCCCAAACGAAAAAAGATCTGATTTCTCTTTACCAAATATCACTTACACGGCCTTTCTAAAAATAGCCCAGGCGGCCTTTCTAAAAATAGCCCAGGCGCTGACCTAGTGGGCAGGGGGATTGGGGAGGCTGTGCATCTAACCTGCCCCTAGAACAGACTTGTGTCCTGCGAGTGCTCCAGGGGGACTGCGACTATTGCTGTTCAAGTGGCACTGTTGTTGTGTGCCGTTGAGTCAGAACCAACTCCTAGCTGACCTCCCTGCAGGTTTTCAGAGCCCACAGGATAAAAGGGAGAGGGCGTTGTGCAGCGTCTACATGCATCAGCAAATCCAGAGAGTAGCTGGCTTGCACCCCACGTGGGGTCTGAACCCAGGTGGTCACAGTGTCCACTGCCTGTTCTGTATTCAGAGTGCCTGTCATGGTGCATGTGGGTGGCTCCCCTTGATTGGTGCTTGGCCCTGCTGCCAAGGAGCGAGGTCTGGCATTTACTATCAGCTGGCTTTTCTTCAACTGAAGTACCTGTCAGAGGATGGCTTTCCTCCCCTGGCAAGTCCTCCTGTAGTGAGAGGCTGCTCCTTCTTGGCTTCTCCACTGTGGTGGTTGCACACCTCCTTGACTGTTGCCTCCAGTATTCAAGTGACCTCAGACTGGAAAGTTCATTGTTGGGGAAGCCTGAGTCTTCCTACAGGATTGCTCTGATGTTATGGTCCTGTAAGTCTCTCTAGCTCTCATAGAATACTGACAGGAAAGTATGGGTCTTGGGTTGACTGGAGGATTTGGGAGTGACCATGGTGTTTGTTTTGGCCCTACTGAGGCTTATGTGTAAAACTATGTAAGATTTAGCCCTCCCTTCAACTCAACTCAGTTTGCCAAGTCTGTTTTGGAACTGCAGCAATTTTCTAGAGGGCCTTCACATTGCTGAGGCCTCTGGGGCAGGACATGGTCTCCTCAGGCCTTCACCTGAATCCCCAGTCTGCCAGGCAGTTCCAAGGGGGGCGGGGAGGCCCTGTCTCAGAGCAGACTTGAGCTTATCTGTCATCAGGGTTCAGATTGTGAGGTGGGCTGGTGCTGTTCCTGTGAATACCCTCTGCAGGGCAGATCACGGGGAGAAATGGGGGCAGGAAGTCAGTGATCAAACTCTGGCGATGCAAGTGTCAGAGATGGTTACTGTCTTAAGATCCACTTCAGAATGAAGGGAACAAGGGAGTTGTCTGACAGGTAACGGTGAGAAGCTGTGTGTGTGCACGCATGGGAGCTCCTGCTTGTGTGTGACATCCATGCCAAACAGTGCTGCTCCCTCCCACTGCTCTTGGAGCAGAGAACACAGGAAGTGCACACGTTGGGTTGGGAAGGGGGTGGGGAGCTGCTGCTGCCCCAGAAAAGGGGGTCAGCGAAGGTGAAGTAGGCGACCGATGCTCGGTGCTGGCAGGCAGCCCGAGGAGACAGTCTCCAGGGATGATGCTGGATCTTTCGGCCTGTCACCTGACCAGGTGGGCCTCCAGAGCCTGGTGTTCTCTGAGAGTTGGAGCTTTCTGTCACCTGGAATCTTAACTCTGGTGAATTTGGAGGGCGACCTCTACAGAGAGATTTGTTGACATCTGAGAGCGTGTGTGCTTCCCTTGTGACGCTGCTCCGGCCCCCTGTCCTCCCCACTCTGACTTCGTTCATGTTTTGCAGGTCGAAATGAGAAGGGGCAGCTGGGACATGGTGACACCAAGAGAGTGGAAGCCCCCAAACTCATTGAAGGGCTCAGCCACGAAGTGATTGTGTCAGCTGCGTGTGGGCGGAACCACACCCTGGCCTTGACAGGTAATGGGGGTAGGCTCCTGACTTTGGCACAGGAGACTACAAGTGTCACAGAATGGGTGGTCGGGGGAGGTGTCAAGACGGGGAAGATCCCCCGGGAGTCTGGTGGGTGACTTCTTGGTGTCAGAGCGTCACCCTTGAGTACAAGAAGCCCCTATTAGGAGTCTGAGACCCGGAGCTGGTGTGAAGTGCTTTTGCTCCGACATATGCACCCGCGATGCTGCCTCAGCGTCATTCTTCCTGGCATATGAACTGTGGTCTTTAGTGTTTGTGGTGCCTTTGGTTCTAAATGTAGTTCAAAACATGTAGCCTTGTGTTCCCTTCTTTTTAATGTTGTTTTTTCCAACCAGAAACGGGCTCCGTGTTTGCCTTTGGGGAGAACAAGATGGGGCAGCTGGGACTCGGCAATCAGACAGACGCCGTTCCCAGCCCTGCACAGGTAACTCGCTCTTGGCACAGACGTGATGGCCTCTCTTCTTTCTCCTCCTGCCCTCCCCCCCTTTTGTGTTGGTTTTCAGAGGTGGAGCATGGATCTTTCTCCAGCCTCTGAGTTAATTGATCGAAAGGTCTAGATGCTTCTAGTGGAACTTGTGTGCTGTAGTCTTTAGCACGGGTTCATGATTGCAGTTGAAAAAAACATCCGGAAACCACTATTTCTTTCCATGTGGAAAAATTGGGATACAGAGGCCTTGTTTAAAGGCTCCACAAAGTGTGTCTTTTTCTAAAGTACTTGGAAAGTGCTAAGCAGATGTCATTTTATCTGCAAAGGTGGTGAGGTTTGACCTGGAATCAAGTCACAATACCAGGTGCTTAGAACATGAGTAGGAGCTGAGGTCCTCATGTAGCTAAGAAACTTGGATTAATCAGTTAGAACGATGAAATTATATCAGGCTGAACTAATGATGAAAGACTGCTGGGTGCCTGATTAGTGGTTTAAAGACTGTAGCTGGGGAAGGGGGATTGAGGTTTTTTGGTGTGTTTGAAGAGACAGACTCCATGATGAAGCTTTCCAGCTCTTTGAGAGGTTTATGAGGTGTCGGTGATTTTCCGGCTGTTTGCCCTCAAGTGTGGAACGTAACTATTTCGGGAGCAGTAAACAGGGCCCGAAGGAACATACCCTCTGACTTTTGGGTCCTTGGTAATGTCCAGCATTACTGTTACTAGCGATCCCTCATGGTCTGGTCCACAGCTTCCCCAAGCTGATCAGTTTGCCATGGCAGTAGGCACATAACAACAAGAACTTTTTTATGTTTGTCTCCAAATTTCATGTTAAGTTATTCCGGGCCTTCACTATCTTCCTTCCAGCTCCCTAATTTTAAACCATTTTATTTTATTTTGCTCACACCTCCAATTAGACTAATTAGTGCAAGTATCTGTATAATAATAAAGAGAATGTAAAAGAGCTTATTTTACTGGCTGGCAATCTCAGTTGCAAAAGATTTTCTTCTGAAAGGTCAGGGATGACATCAGAACTAGTGGCTATGAAGTGAGCTTTTGGAGTGGAGTCGGTTTTCCAGTTAGCTTTCTCTAAGCATGAGTGATGGGCTAGGTGCAATGTCAGGACAGTGAGGGAGACACAGGTGTGACGTGGCTAACTTTGAACTCTGTACTGTGCAGGTAGAATTCACTGGGTTATTTCTTTATATATTTTCCAAGCCTTATGCTCTATAAATGCCTTTAGATTTGCCATAAGAATTGAATCCATTACATTTCTTTTGTAGCTTCCATGATTGTTTTCCTTTCAACCTGCAGAGAGTAGAGACTTTTTATCTTTTTTTTAAGTCTGAAACTCTTCTGTCTTTTTCTTTTCAGATAATGTACAACGGCCAGCCAATTACCAAAATGGCCTGTGGGGCTGAATTCAGTATGATAATGGACTGCAAAGGAAACCTCTATTCCTTTGGGTGCCCTGAATATGGTCAGCTTGGTATGGAAGTGTTTTTTTTTTTTTTAAAAAAAACCAACCCCAAACTCTGTAATCTGACTATTTAGAACCAGAAATCAGTGTGAGGCTCCACACACATGTTAGAAATGTGGGTAATTGATCTCAGATAATAGCTTTTAGCCATTAAGTGGATCTCACGTTTAGAGGAACAGCATGTTGTAAGGCATGGGATTGTAGCACATTACAATGACTTGCCTCAATGCAATAGTCAGGACCTCGATTCTAACAAAGGAGTCTTTTTTCCCCCTCCCTCTCTCATTTGTGAATTCGTTTGTGTGAAAAGATTTTAGTTGTCTGTCTTTTTTTAAATCAAGCCCCATTCATTGAGTTCTGCATTTAAAGGCTCTGCCTTTACTGAAAGTGAGACAGTCTCCAGGGTGGTTATTTCAGGTACGTAGGTGAGGCAGTGCTGTACGTAGAAGTGCTGGCCACCCTCTCGTTGTCCAGCTTTAAGCAGAGTTACACATCCCAAAGCGTGTTTACTTGCCTCCTGGTAAGTGGAAAAGCAAAACTCAGAAATGAGTTCTCTGTCAAAGGGGCATGTCTTCAATCCACCATCTGTCAGCAGGGTCTCATTCTCCTTTCCCACCTGACACTGAAGTGTCCCTGTTCCCCCCCTTCCCTGGCCCCTTCCTTGGAGAACTTGGAGTAGGAGGTGAGGAGTGGGCGCCCTCTGCTGGCTTCTCAGCACCATCCACTTGCCAGGTCAGCAGCAGCGCCCACTTATCTGGGTTGCTGGGTCTCGACGTCATTCAAACTGGCAGATGGAAAGCTGTATAAATAGAATGAAGAGCATCTCGCTGGCCTTAGACTTGGGGAACAGTGACTTTGTGAAACTAAATATACCTTGAGTCAGAAGCGAACAAGAAAGAGCAACCCCTTACGCACATTCTGGGTTGGTTGCTGAGGAATTGTCAGAGCCTTTTGGAGATACCGTTTCCATGGCCACAAGCACTCCTGCTGTACCCAACCCTGGACCACACGCCGGAAATACGTTTCTGGGCTCCTTCCTGAAACGTGTAGCTCCCCTGCTGCCTTTCACTTCGCCACATTGGTACGGGCAGCTTGATTTCTTTTAGGGGGAATGAAATGACGCTGGTAATGATAGCATTCATTGAGCAATTTTGAATTGTGTATACCAGTCCCTGTTTAAGCACTCTATACAGAGTCTCATTAGATGCATTTAAAGGTGTTTCAGAATTGATTTGATTCGTGTTTTTGGAATTCTTAACTTGCTAGCTGACTTTACAGTGCTTCAATCCAGAGATCTCTCTCAGAGTTGGGAGGTGGTCTGGGAAGTGTATTTGCCAGCACACGCCGTGCATTTACTGGATCAGGCAGGAAAGAGGTCAGCCTGTGCATCTGAACTGCGTTTTAGCAAGCTGTCACTCAAGGCGGCTGGAGGGCAGCAGCCGCAGTTCACCACGTTCTGGAGGAATTCTGTCCTGTATTTTGGGGAGAAGCAAATGTGTGTCTACATGTGTTCTTAAACATTAAAAGTCAAACGGAAAAACAGTTCTCAAATGTCCCTTCCCTTGTGGAACTACCAGTCAGGTTTATTATCCAGCACTTAATCACATAGTAGATTCTCAGTAAATAACACTGCCAACTGCTTTACCAAAATTTGATCAAGTATTTAAGTAGAGTTGGTGTGTGTATGATACCCAATCCCATGTGATAAAGTGGGTATCCTCAAGTTCTGCATGGCTTAAAGGGATCTCTTAGCCATGACCCCTGAGGCTGCTCGGGTTGGTGGCCACGTGGAGAGAGACTTACGCCAACAGTGTACATTGGGTGCCATGGTGTAAATGGCTCAGGAGAAGAATGTTATGAAACAGCATCCTGTGAATAATTGTTGTGCTTCTGTTGCTCACAAGCCCTAGATAGTTACGAGGTGTGAAGTTCACATGCACAGCATAAGTATACTAAGGATAGGCAGCGGCTCTTAGGGCTAACTTCCAAGCGGTGTGGTAACGTGGTAGCTACCAAACAGTGAATGTTAGGAGAGCAGTTGGGATTCCCTTAAGGACGCTGTTAGTGCCGTGGTAGCAGCTGACCTTCCCCTCGCTCCTCGTCAGCCGCGTGCTCAGCTGTTATCCCTGTTGACGCTTAGATAGTGTGTGTATTCCCACTTGCTAGCAATTCCGTGATGATAGAAAGTATAGGTTATTAGTAATTAAGGAAATAGATGGCTGAAATTTTGTGAATTTCTTTTTCTTCTTCTTGGCGCATCTAGTGACTTTGTGAGTTCCACATCCCTTGCCCAGGATACAGATCATATTACCTTTGACTCCGTGGCTTCCAAAGCATTAGTCCCTCCTCTTTATTCATTCTTCATTGTTGCACATTTTCTACTCCCCACCCCCCTTTTTTTAAAAATTGTAAATATAGAAGGATTGACTAGTAAGTCATGTATGGGGGTAAAAAGTAGGAGCAGAAGAAGGGTGAGGATGGTAGGGATGAAATCACAGGGTTGCACAGTTTGGTGGTTGTCTCCCCCTTTCGAAAGCAATTTGACTGCAATCCACAGTTTATTTTACACTGTACCCAAATCTAAATGTAGCCATGACAGACTTTTTATAAAAGAACGTCGTTAAGTACACTGTTGAATCCAATTTTTAAAAACAAAGCTGACCTCAACCCCACAAAATGAGTTTCATGATCCCGCTGGGTTGGGCCTTCATCTTCGCAGACTCCGCAGATCCTCAGGTGTGTTAGCGGCCCCCAGGCTGCTGCTGCTCACTGCTGCCACCTCTGGTCTCTGCAGGACACAACTCCGACGGGAAGTTCATTGCCCGGGCTCAGCGGATAGAGTATGACTGTGAGCTTGTGCCCCGCCGAGTTGCCATCTTCATTGAGAAGACAAAAGACGGGCAGATTTTGCCAGTCCCAAACGTGGTTGTGCGAGATGTAGCCTGTGGTGCTAACCATACGGTAAGACTTGCGTTTTTCCTTGCATTGGGGAGTTCTGAAGCCCCAGAACCCTAGCACTAGGACATTCTATTTTTTCTGAGTACTTCCCACTGTTAAGATGGCCACCTTGCATGATGGGGTGCAGATGCTTTTCCTGCCAGCACAACTCGGGACATTAGGTTCAGAGGCCATGGATTGTCCCTCACAGGTCTCTTTTTCTAAAAACGTTTCATAGTTCTCTGTCATTATGCCCAACGTGAACAGCTGTCTGTGACTTTGACAGACAAAGCAAAACATATGGGCATTTCCCGTCCCTCCAGAATGGCTTTATGCAATATGCATGCTTCTTCTTTGGACTTCTGTCCGTAAATAGCATCATTAATGTCTGCAGGTTGATTGATGGACTCCATTCTGTGCTGTGGGTGTGGAACACTTTATTTTATTCATGGGTTTTTGTTTTTTTTTCTTTCCATCCTTCAGGTAAACTTAAGTAAAGAGCTTCGTTCCATTTTTAGAGTTAGCTTATCCAAGAGTATTTGTGAGTGAAACCTAAAATCTGTCTTTTGTGGAAAGAGCACTGGGCAGGGATCCCCACTTGGAGGCACAGCCTCAGGTGGGTCCCTGTCCCTGGACTCCTTTCCCAGCTAGTGCACAGGGATTTGTGGAGATCTCATTCTGTTTTGTCTTCTGAAAAGGAAATTGTTTTTAATAATTACACACTGCAATCCCAGAGTGCATGGTTCGAATCCACCAGATGCTCTGCTAGAGAAGGGACAGTCTCTTTTGTACCTTAGATCTGATTTGACGGTACACATAAAAAATTAATAATTACACATTCAAACATGAAATAGACTAAAGAAGATTTTTAACATTCTTGCCTCATGTCGTTAACTGGGTAGAAGTTAGCCCTGTGAATGAGTCGGGGTGGAGGGGATAGTTCAGCCAGGCAGGTATTTTCTCTGTGTTCTGATTGCCATTTAACGGCACATTTGTAGGAATTGTCCTCCTTACTGTCCATGTCAGGGGCAAGCAGGGGAGTCTTAGGTCTGTAAAAACCATTTACAGTAAGAATGGGAAATAACATTCCTGCTAGAGAGAAAGCATGCTGGCCTCGTGGGTATGCGTCACTTTGCATGCCTGCCCCTGTCACTGCCTCCTCCTTTGGAGGCAGGTAAGGACTATTTTTAATGTCTCTGGTCCTATTCTCTTCACTCTTCTGCCAGATTTTCTGGCACAGAGATGGACCTGGGCAGGTCAGTTTGTTCCAATCCTGTCTGTCTTTTCTCTACTCCTGCAGCTGGTCCTGGACTCCCAGAAGCGTGTCTTCTCCTGGGGCTTTGGTGGCTATGGCCGACTTGGCCACGCAGAGCAGAAGGATGAGATGGTCCCCCGCCTGGTGAAGCTGTTTGATTTCCCTGGGCGTGGCGCGTGCCAGATTTATGCTGGTTACACCTGCTCCTTCGCTGTCAGCGAAGTGGGTTAGTAATAACCTGTGTGCACCGAGTTTGGGATGAGGGTGTCCCGGGAGGGCCACCACAGGGCAGTTCTCTCAGTGCAGGACTGAGAACCCTGCTTAGATTTCTTCCCCAGCTCTGGTGGCTTTACCAAAAGGCTGTGCCTCTGGTGGTTCAAATCTACTAGGGGCTTCTTGGAGAAAGTGGCCATATTACAACCTCTAAAACCTTGTTGGACGTCAGCTACACCTCTGTTCCCATCACACAGCAATAAGACAAGTGCCCCTTGGGCCATGCTGCTACTCAGTGGTCATTCATGCTAAATAGATGAGGCTTCAATTTCAGGCACCTGGTTTTGACCCTTTTTTTTTTTTTGTCTTTCTCCAGGTGGTCTGTTTTTCTGGGGTGCCACCAACACATCTCGGGAGTCCACCATGTATCCAAAGACAGTGCAGGACCTCTGTGGCTGGAAAATTCGGAGCCTGGCCTGTGGGTACGTGCAGCTGCCTGGGCTGTTCTGTGGCCGCCTCCCTCCCTGCTGAGAGCGGCCGTGGAGGGGAGGCCTCCTGAGGGGGCATCCCGGCCATGAATCCTGAAGGGAATGTGCTCAGCAGAGTAGGGCAGTAGGAACTAGAAAAGATGACTCTCTTCTGTCTTCAGAAAGTTAATTTTGGAAGATTGTCTTTGAAGAGTTGGTGGGTAGTCTGCTTATGCTGCAGGGTCCTGTAGGTCAGTTTTCTGGTGACTGTGTAGTGGGTAAGTGAATGACTTGGTTTATTCTAAGGATACTTGTGGAGTTAGCACTATTTGGTGGGAAGGACTTTGATAATCAGCTGCTCTGGGAGGTGGAAGGACAGGCACCCATTGGAATTGTTTGTAAAGTCACATTTTTCTGGAATGACCTTTTCATTCAGATTTTATCTATTTCCAGTTTGTTCATCTGTCTGTGGGTGACCTCCTACTTAGAGCCCCCTCTCCCACTCCTCAGGTCTCATGGCCCTTCAGTTCCCATTTTAAGCCCTGTGTAAGGGCTTTCATGTCTTTACAGGACAGTCTTTAAAATTAAGGGAAACCTACTAGTACCTTAGTTCTGTTTGCTGCTTGAAAATGTGGATGTTGCAGAGTTCGTAATGGACATACTGATTTTGGAAAACCACTGTCCTGAGTAGGTCAGAATAGGTAACTCTTAGGCAGTACTTCTGGGGTCTGGGTGGGCTCGGGCTGAGGGTGCCGGGCATGCTGGTAACAGCCTCTGTGATATTTCAGGAAAAGCAGCATCATCGTGGCCGCTGACGAGAGCACCATCAGCTGGGGCCCTTCTCCGACCTTTGGAGAGCTGGTGAGTGGGCGGGTGCCAGGTGGGAAAAGGAGTGGACTTTGGACTGGGTGCCTCCACGCCTGCTAGAAACCTTGGACCCGCTAAAAGTCTTAGGGAGCTGAAGTGGTTTCCCAAAGGGAAGCAGTTCAAATCCACCCTCTGCTTCAAGGGAGAAGGATGGGCAGTCTCTTCTACATGATTTACTGCCTCTGAAAACCCGCTAGTGGGTCAGCCCCGCTTGCCTTCATGTTCAGGGCTGTCGTGTTTATATTTGGGCCACGCCATCTGCACAAATTGTCGTAAGGCCAAGTTCGTGCTTATGAAATAATGGTGGAGGCATCTCTGCCTGTTCATTGTTTATTTCATTACTACTTTACAATGAAAGTTTGTACAAAACGTTGGGTTCCTACCTGACAATTTCCACATAAAATGGCCCATGACGTGAGTTATATATATATATTTTTTTATTATTGTTATTTTGTGTGTGCGTGTACCGTCAAATCCGATCTGACTGGTACAGGAGGATATTGCTCCTCCTTCTCCGGCAGAGCATCTGGTGGATTCGAACCTTGTACCTCTGGGATTGCAGTACAGCTTCTTGCCAGTAGGCCACCAGAGCTCCTGTGAGTTACATTTTTGACAACCTGTCAGGGGTCTTTGTGATTTGTTGTTCCTGTCCAAGACTCTAGTTTACCTGCCTGCTATCTTTCTCATCTTTGCTTTGGGTGAAATGCTAGTTTCCCTTTTGGTCTCTGTCAGATTGTTTTCAATAGACAGTTGCTCTAACAGGTTAAGGTCCTGCCTTTTTGCTAAAAGAGAATTTTGGGGTAGTTTGGGTTCCAGGGAGTTAATCTCCAGAGTCTTTTGTTCTTAGGTGGTCTGGTTAGTCTGACCCTTTATAGGAATTTGCGTTTTTTGTTTTGGGAAATTGTTTTTTTTCCGCTTACTGGAAGCATTTCTTGTGCCCCTGGTCTAATTGGTCAGTGGTAGTGTCACCATCCAATTCTGATCTCAGGGAAATTGAGGTCACAGCTCGTGAAGGCTGTCCTGTTTGCCTTATAGGCTGGCTTCTTCTCTGACGGTTTAGTTATTTTCTAACTCTCTTGGCTTCTGGTGAGACTGATGGTTGGATCTTTTTGACTACTGATGTCACTAGAAAGCAGAGCATGAACTTTGTAAACTCTCTGTGCCACTTGACCGTGTTGTCCCAAGAGTCTCTGACCCCTCAGCGTTCAAGTCTGCTGCTCTGCCCTTGTTTGTATGGAGGTGACAAGGTCTCGGGTCCAGTTACCCTTGCAGTTAGGGTTAATGACTGTGGTACTGCAGTGCTGGGAGAGGGGAAGAGTGGACCCATTGGGGCCGCTGCCACTGGCTCAGAGCTCACAAGGGTTTCCTGTCGGCACTGTCAGGCCATCGAGCAGGATGCTGTCTGTCAGCAGCTGGGCTGATGTGGGGATGTCCTTCCCTTAGTTTTCCTAAATTGAGTTTGCGTTCTTATTTTGGTGTGGTAAAGTGACAAGCACTAGCCCCCAGTTTCTCACCCCTATGTGGCCTTCATTATCACATACTTCTGATTAAGGTTTTGAATACAGGTAGTTTCCAACGCCTGACATTCCAAGTTAGGAGAGTGAACCGAAACATAAAAGCTATGTGTTGTTATGTGCCGTCGAGTCGCTTGTGACTCATAGTGACCCTATGTACAACAGCCCTAAACCCTGCTCTATCCTGTGCCAGTCGCACTGACTGACACTCCCATCCCGACTACCCCAGTCACTGAATCAGTCCATCTCATAGAGGGTCTTCCCCTCCTGCGACCTCCACCCTACCAAGCATGTCCATAGTATGTTAGACGGAGCCTCAGAATCCTTGCCTCCAAGGAGCAGCCCGGTTTGACCCTTTCCAGGATGAATCTGTTTTCCTAGCAGTCCATGGTATTCTCAGTACTCTTCTCCAGCACCACAGCTCAAAGGCATCAATTCTCCTTCTATCCTACTTGGTCATTGTCCAACTCTGATGCATATGTTAGTGATAGCAAAGACCATGGCCTGTATCAGACGCACCTTGGTCTCCAAAGGGGGACACCATTGCTCTTCAGTACTTTGGAGAAGTCCCTAACAGCAGACTTTCCCATGGCAATACGCCTTTTAATTTCCTGGCTTCTGGTGCCAAGAGTGTTGACTGTGGAGCCAAGCAAACTAAAGCTGTGAACAATCTCAATCTCTTCACCATCCATCCTGATGCTGCCAGTTGGCCCAGTGGTGAGAATCTTTGTCTTCTTGTCATTGAGCCTCAATCCATATTGGAGGCTGCAGTCCTTGACCCTCTACAGCAAGCGCTTCACGTCCTCCTCAGTTTCAGCAAGCAGGGTTGTGTCATCTACATAATGCAGATTGTTGATAGTATATAATTTTCTGAGTTTGCCATTTTCATGCCAGGCCCCAAAGACAAAGATTGAGTTCAAAGATTGATAAAAGAGGTTTGACTTATGTCAGAATGGAGTCACCGCTAAGATGAGCCCTGTACTTTAATTATCTGCTTTTTTCTTAAGAGCTTGACTGAGTCATTTGCTTCCCAGTGGAGCTCAGCTCTTAGTATAGTTTGTCATCAGTTAATTGTTGAGCTTTTTATTTCCTACTAGAAACACGATGTTTCCCTCCCCCCTCTTCTCGCCTTCTCCCAGCTGTAGAAGCACCCGTGGCTGATGGAGAGGTAGGAACAAAGGTCCTTTCTCTGTCTCTGAGGTTCAACCTGCCATTTCCCAGGCATTCTCCCCACACTTTGCCGGGGGACTTCTGAGAGTTTGCTAGTGCAGCAACGTGTCTGTGTCCCCTTCTTGGACAGTGCCATTCAAAACCTTGTAGGAGTCTGAGAACTAGGGCCCACCTTACAGATTGCTCTTCAGCCCATATTCACGGTTTTTCTCAGTCTGGACTTCAGTCTTCTAAGAAGGAGTTTTGAAACTAAAGGAGAATAGAGAAACCATTAGAGATGGAATGCCACCATTAAGGGAACCACACACTGTTCTGTTAGGGGGTGTAAGCTGGATCCTGGGAGTACAGACTGGCTTGTGTCGGGGAGGAGGTAGGTGGGACACGGCTGTGGTCCTTCCAGCCACTCTTGGGTCTTCTCAGCAGTTCGTGACCAGCTTTCTGGCGGGGATCTTAGAGCGGGAACCTCTACTATACACGGCACTCCTTTTCCATCTGGATTTGCTTACTTCGTCCTATAGGCCCTGGAGGCATGTGACTTTGTTAATGACAATCTTAGACTGGTAATCCACAACCCCTACAGGGCGTCTTGGTTAAGTTAAAAATTGTTCATAACCAGAGGGCCTTTTATATCTGAATGACCAGGCTCTGGGGAGATATGGGGATCAAGACTCAGTTTGGGGGTGCTGGGGAGCTGCCATTACTCTCTCATTTGGAACCACACATTGATTCCCGCTTTTTCGCTTGTCTCCCCTGTTTGCATCCCCAGGGCTATGGGGATCATAAGCCCAAGTCATCCACCGCAGCCCAGGAGGTGAAGACACTGGATGGTATTTTCACAGAGCAGGTGAGCGTGGCCCTCTGTGTCCAGGCAATCAAGGAACGCTGGGAACAGTGAAGAAGTGCCACCACCAGAGCAGAGTGCTGTGTGCCATCACTTTGCTTTGCACACTCTGCTCCTCGCAGCCCGTTTGAATCTAGTTTCCTGTCCTCCACCACTTTCCTTGCTGCCCTGTGTGGACGTTTCCCTGGGCATCAACAGATACCATCAGGAGAACATGGCAGAGGCCTTGCCTCAGCAGTGTAGAGCTGACCCAGCCTTTCACTGACATACACCAGTAGACCGTGGGGAGCTGGGATTGTGAGGCCTGTCCCTGTCTGCAAGACACAGGGAGTGGACCCTGCTCATAGGGTAATGTGACCGATCAGAGCCACTGCCTGAAAGAATAGTCTGCTTCATTCCTGTGTCCCCACCTCTTCCCAGTGACACCTTGGTTCCGGAAGCTTCCTTCCAGCTGGGTCTTGAGGGCAGCTTGGAAAGTGGGTTAGCAAGGGGTCAGGATGGGATCCTGGTGCCATAATGAGCTGAGCTGTCTTGAACGAAAGGTTTCTGCGCTGGTCAGGACTGTTGGCCGGCTGGCTTGCTCCTGCCCCGCTGTGTGTGCCTTGTGCTTGTGTGCTCCAGACTGGACAGAGGACACGCAGGCCCCAGGAGGCCCTCACACACCTTATCCTGCTTGTCCCCCTCAGGTCGCGATGGGCTATTCTCACTCCCTGGTGATAGCGAGAGATGAAGGGGAAACGGAGAAGGAGAAGATCAAGAAACTGCCAGAGTATAATCCCCGAACCCTCTGAGGCTCTGGAGTCTCCTCCACATCCACACCTCTCGCGGCAGCTGTCATTCCATGTGCACTGGGACGGGAAGTCAGACAAGCAGTTTAGAAAAGGCAAAAGTCGACCGAAGGTGCATTTTTTTTTTTTGTTAAACTCCCTGAGGTTCCGTTTTATAAGTGATTTCAACATCAACTACCTTTTTCTGTAAGCTTTCCAAAGTGTTCTTTTTCCCCCCACCCACCCTCCTTTTGCTCTTAATGTTTAATTAAACTATTTGCTCATAGTTGATTTACCATTCCTACGAATGAGGCAGAAACTTTGAGCAATCTAGGCTTTTTGGTTTTAGGTTGTTTTTCCTTCTGAATACACATCCCTTTTTAGTTGTCATTATCAGCATGTGATCAGAATGGGTGCTACATGGGAGAGGAACCCCCGTTGACTCGGGAAGAGCAGTCCCTGGTAGGACCGACCCCCGTCCAGGGTCACGGCCAAGCACTCTGGCTGTATCTGGGGCTCCTCCCTCCTTGTACACCGCCTTAGGCCTGCGGTGGTTGTTTCTCCCCTGGCTGCTTAAAAGCCATGGCCTTTTTGGCTGAGACATAATCGAATCTGCCTTTCCTCCCCTGCTGTGGGGGCTCTAGGGTCTATATTTAGCCATTTCTCTCTCCTTTAGCTGTAAAAGAAGTCCAAATGAAAATCAGGTGATCCTGGCATCAATGGGGACTTGGTTGGGGATGGTGGGTTAACATTTGTATCTGTCTAAAGATCTGGCTCTCTGGCTCCCCGAGGAACCAGAGCCTGGTCGCTAGCACTCGCCAATAGAGATTGATCAGCCAGCAACAAAGAGGAGTTCTGACGTCCTCGCAGCCACAGCCCTTCATCAGACCATCCTGTAGCATCTCCATGGCCCCGCCTGTCTTCCACCCTCTGGCTGGATCCTGCCAAGAGCTGGGCCCTGCCTGCCTCTGGGGTTCAGGGCCTACTGCTCTGCTAACTAGCACTCCTTAGTTGCATTTGCTTGGCTCTGGTACCAAATAATCGGGCTGCCTGAGGAATTCCCTGCCCCACACACGGCGTGCAGATGCTGTGACTGCCATCCCCCACCCCACCCCCCACAAATGCCCTCTGCCTGAGCTCGTCACCTGGGCTGCGCTGCGTGAGTTATGAGGTGCCTTTCCCGGAACCCTCCTCTCACTTGGAGCCCGGGGCGGCCCCGGCCCTGGTTGGGGCTTTGCTCTTGGTTTCGAGAGGGTCTGGACTGGTTTGGGTGCTTTAAAATAGAATTTTTAGTGTAGTGGTGCTCACTAGGGAGAAAAGGGGTAGGACTTAAGTGTGAGACTTGGGCGGACGGGAAAGTTAAATATTGGTCTTTAAGTTTTTGGTTGTTTTTTTCCCCCCTTCCTTTTTGCTTTTGCTATATTGTCATTGTCTCAATGTTAAAATGCCAAAAAATGACTTAGTCATTGTTGCTCTCCTCCCTGCTCGCCCCAACCCAGTCACTCTGGACGGTCTGCTCTGCTCCCGCTGGGCACAGCGCAGTGCTCACCTTGGCCAGCCCTGATGCCTGGCTTAAGGAGATTGGCCTGCATCTTACTAAGATTTAGTCTGATTTCATGCCTATCTCTCGTCCTGTATTCAATCAAGAAGTATTTCAGGGGAGAAGCTTTTGGTAAACTATACTCTTATTTGTCCCAATCACCCCACACCACAGTTGTGACTGCAGCTCCCATGTGTGGGACCTAAACGGCTCTCCTGGACTGTGGCTCGGGCATGTGTGTTCACTGGACACTTTGAGGTCCTGCTGGAGTTGTGTGTTTGCGCACCAAGAGGTTCAGAGTTGGAGAACTCGGGGGTTGAATACACAGTAGAAAACGGCCTTTGATTCAGCCGACTTGTGGATCTCTTGCTGGCCTGACCTAAAACTGGCTGCCAGTCAGCCTGTTCAAAAACCCTTTCCCCAGGGCGAGAAGAGGGACGGGACATGCCTTCTGTACAAAGATCTGGTCCCTCCAGTCACTCCTTTTGGCTTAGGACAAGTTGTAAAGTGAACTTCTGACTGAGCAGAATCCTTTAGGTGGGAGGAGCCCTGCACCCCTGGAAAGGTAGGGTGTGAGCAGGCTTTGCTGAGGCTGACCCTTTGGGTGCCTGACGTGTCTTCCAGCTCAGGAAGGAGATTGTGAGCGGACAGGCTTAGAGTGAAGGGGAATCACGAGCTTGTGCTTTGGTCGAAGGTGCCTGGTTTAGTGCTGTAATTGTCTTTATTTTTTTTTTTATATATATATATATTTCTTGGAGTAAACATTTTAAATAAACGGCATCATTGTTTACTCTGTTTTGGCCTTTGTGTTTGTTTTTCAGTAGAACCTAAGAACATGGAGCCCACTCACTGGTCCCTGTTCTCAACTCCCCAGAGGTGGGCCTCCCAACCCACTTCCCACTCCCAGTCCTGTGACACCCACATAGGGTCCCTCAGGGTTGGGCTTTACGGGAGGGGTGGGAAGTGAGTGCCTCGCCCTGTTCTGCTCCTGCAGTTGTGTGAAGAGGTGGAGTATTTCATGGAGTATCTCACTGGAGCTTTGAGACCAGCAAATGAACCCAGGGTGGAACCTCTCCAGAACGCTGCACCCCGGGAACCAGTCTTCACACCCAGCCCTTCCACAGGGGCCTCTGCAGTGCCACCCTCCACCTCCTCCACCCCCCTCCCACTTCCCCCAGCAAGGCTTGCTTGGTGGGACCTGCCCCTCCTCCCTCCTGTGGCAGAGGCCCTTCTCACTGCCTGGCCACACCCCGCCTGTATTGGGTGACAGGTGACAGGGACACCAGCACGCATGCCCACAGGCAGTGACCCTGGGGTCATTTTAGTGTCACTTGTCTGACAGTGGTAGCCACAGGTGAGGAGTTTGTGTAAACTGACATCACTCACCTAGCTTTAAAACCTTGACGGAGGAAGATAACACGGGTGTTGCCAACGGAAAGCTCAGCGGTTCAAATCCAGCTGTGGCTGTGAGGGAGAACTATGACAGCACTCTCCCATAAACAAACATGAACAGCCTCTGAGACCTGTGGAGGCTCACTGCTGTCAGAACCTGCAGGCGGAGGGTTTGGGTTTTAGCTTGGCTGCCTCTTCTCAACCCCGCACAGGTGTAGTGTGGCCGCTGCCCACTAGGGGGCACTAGCCCATAGCGTGGTCAGACAGCACGAGGCCTGCTGGCCTCTGCCCAGATGGAGGCCGCCTGCTTCCCACCTGCTCCTGCAGGACAATTGGACTCTGGGCATCATCATCTGCCTTGGCTTCTGACCACCTCCAGCCACAGACACTGATACTGGTTGCCATTTGTTGAGGCTCATGGGTGGTGGGCCGCTTCATTCTCGAGTGTCAGACCAGCCGTCTGTGTAGGCACAGCCCCTCTTTACAGAGGATGCCATGCCTCCAACAGCAGCGACCCACAACTGTCAGAGAAATCTCCATGTAAATGCTTGTCTCTACCACGGTCTTGATGTCAGCTTCCTGTCAGTTGGTAGAAACTCACTCCCTGCCTCGGTCTCTGCCCGTTTGGAAGGGGCCCCAGGGCACAATTCAGGCAGCACCCACCCACTGAGCACGTGCTGTCATCAGTTTGGCACTTAGCCTCTACTGCTACATTCCCCTCGACGTTTTGTCAAGCACCATTACTCATTTTGCTGAAGAAAGACAAAGGTACAATGTCCCTGGCTAAAACCAACAATGGTAGTAGTGGTGGGTTCGAAGGCCCACCTCCAGATGTGGCCTGCTGAGAACCCCCACAAACACATCTGACCTGAACCTTGCCTCTAGACAGGAACAGGTGTGGCCTGTGATTCCCCCTTTGAGGGCTCTGCCTTTCAGCAGGGAAGAAAGCAGAGACCTTCACCTGGCCTGGCCTTGCATTCTGCCGGAGTATTTGGTCAAGTGGCAGCTCTAGTGCCGGGAGGTGCTGTGATTGGGATGGGAGCCACATTGGAAGGCACTAGAATGGGGGGGGGCCTGCTCACCCTCTGCCTGTAGGGACGAGGACCCTCAATGACGAGGTGCTGCATCACAGCAGGCTGGCTGGCTCCGTCCTACGCAGCTTTTCCTTTAAGAAAGGAGAAAGAACAGGAAGGATGGAGGGGCCTTTCTCCCCAGTCCTATCCACTGAATAAAAACCAGTAGGTCCTCTCTAAGCTTAGCCAGTGGGAATAATCTTGGCCTCCTACACTAAAGCCTCCCAGTCCTGCAAGTGTGGACATATGTCTGGGACTGTCAGACCCCGAGGTCAGTGACCATCCTCTCTGGTAGTTGTGGAGCTGTCATTCAGGCACAGTCAGGGCACAAACATAACAAGTGCTTTAAAAGGTAAAGCATGGACGGAAAAGATAATTGAGGCTGGATGCCTACGCTAGAGATTCAGGCTTTCTCCTGAATCTTCATTGCCCTTCCCTGTACACTCAGATTGAATCCTGGAGATGCACAAGGTCTACCTACGGTATCCAGGGACTGGGGATACCCACAGGGCACTGGGGAATTCACCACTGCTTTTGAATCTATAATTAAATCCTATCTATAGAGTTATAATCTATGTTATAGCAGAACAGATCATTCGGGAAGCAGGGCTTTATGAGGAGGAATGTGGCATCAGGATTGGCGGTAGACTCAACAGTACATTATGCAGACGACACAACCTTGCTTGCTGAAACTGAAGAACTGAAGCGCTTGCTGCAGAATGTCAAGGACTATACTTCAATATGAATTGAAGCTTAACATCAGGTAGACAAAGATTGTCAACCACTGGGCCAATTGTCAGCACCATGATGGACAGAGAAGAGATTGAGATTGTTAATTACAGCTTGCTTGGCACCTGCAACCAGAAAATTGAACGAGGAATAAATAGCGTTAGGAAAATTGGCTCTCAGGGAACTCTCTGGAATCCTGAAAAGCAGCAATGTCAGTCTAGAAACTAAAGGACGCATAATCCAGGCCATGGTCTTCTCAATTCTTATGCTTCAGAGATCTGACCAATGCCAGAAGAATTGATGACACTTAGTTGTGGTGCTGGACAAGAGTCTTGAACATGCCATGAACTGCCAAGAAAATAAATAGATCTGTCCTGGAGAGGGTGAAGC